ATCTATTCTTGAACATTTCGAATGAATAAAGACTTCAAGTTCATCTATAAAGCACACAAAGCTATCGTTTGACTTTATAAACTTTTATTTCATGCATGATTCGTATGGATCTGTTAACTGAATGCAAAGTGTGAATTCTAGGTGTTGTCATTTTTCAATTAAATTCTTAGAAATATTAAACATAATGATAACAATTCAAAATATGAGAAAATAGAAAAACGAGTTACTGGATAAAAATTTTCAAAGATCAAGAACAACTTCAGATTAGACGTTGAATCCTTCGATGCTGATAGAAATTTTGTTGCAGGAAGGCACTGCATTGTGCTGAGATGTTACGTCCTTTTTCAGATTTATAAGTAAAATAGTCTTTGTATTTCCAAGAGAGAAATGCATTACGTGAATGGCTTTCTGTTGTGTCATCCATATTTGTGTCATGATGATGAGTGTAGGCACTCTCACTACGAGTTGCTAAATGAACAGGCTGCTGCACAAATTTTTTATTTTTTTTGTTTGTTTGTTTAAACGGAGAATCAGTTGCCTTATTGGTTAAAATCCCCAAACTATTTACATGATGATGAGTGTAGGCACTCTCACTACGAGTTGCTAAATGAACAGGCTGCTGCACACATTTTTTATTTTTTTTTGTTTGTTTGTTTAAACGGAGAATCAGTTGCCTTATTGGTTAAAATCCCCAAACTATTTACTTACATATTAAATTAAGAAATGACATTAAAATTCAAAGTAATCACTTTGGTAATCTAAAATACTTTTCGGATGTAACTGTAATTTGATTACCACCTATTTAAAATGTAATTATAACAAAATACAGTTACTCATATTTTGTATTTTAAATACGTAACGCCATTCCATGTATTTCGTTACTCCCCAGCCCTGGCTGTTGCTATTGAACTGCCTGTGAGCAACTGAAAAGAGTGAATAAGTATACATTTAACTGCATACAATTGAAAATATAGCATCATTGTAACTGTAACTTCATTTGTTTACAGCCGTGTATACAGCACAATTCCAATGTGAGCTCTTTAATAATTTGCAATTACAACTGGAAAAACCAAGTGAAAAATGTGTTGTAGTTCTGCTCTAATAGGACAAGTAGCCTACAGCGGTGTGAAAACAAGAATAAATAGTAGCAATACTTAAAAAAACAAGGAGAAAATGCTTAATATATTTTTATGTTGACTTCAAAGACACATTTTTCTTCTTTCACTCAGCAGAAATTATCATGGACAGGTTGCATGACATTTTCATCCTCAAAAACCGAGAGCAAAACTACGCGAGGTAAAATGCAACCTAGGATACATGAAATATGTTTTCAAAGGAGATTAAACATGGTCACAGTGTGATATTTGCAGTGAATTAATAGCTAAGAGTATGAATCTAAACTCAAGAGATTCTCAAACTATAAAGACAAGCCTGTTAAAACTGTCATGGTCATATAAACAAACATTCTTGTTTAGTTTGGTAGGATTCTGTGCTTGGTCATCACTTGACGTATAATGTAAAATCAAGGCCCTGAAACAAAACCAGTTAAAAACCACTGGTTTAAATATCTTGCCTCATAATTTATTTATTTATAGCAATGCAAATGCATTAATTATTGGGGTAAGTTAACTTTGTTAAAATAGATATCCCTCAGTAACAACATTTTGTTTATGTAATTGTGTATTACTGCACTAATACAGTTACTGTGCTAGACAGACTAGGAATGATCCCCTGCAGCAGGCGTCACCTCAGGCATGGGACTAAGGGGGTTATTTTCAGCCCACAGACAGTCTTTCTTCTTCTTCAATTCAGAATTCCTCTTGTGATCCCTTCTCAACAACAATATTATGACCAATACAAGAAAGCAAATCAGAGGAATAGTGACTCCCAGTGCCGTTCCCAACGGGTCTGTCTGTTTGTCAGAATCACCTGAGAAGACAAATTAAATGTTAGATATTAGCTTTTTGGAAAATGAAAAATATTTGTTTGTAGATATACAAGATTTATGGATAAACAGGCTTTTAGTGATTTTAAAAATACTATTAGAGTTAGTGTTGTCATTATGTCATTTCCTGCAGCTCCAGAGTGATTAGTCATTTACAACTAAAGTGCATTCCTCAAAATATGTATGTAGTTCCGGGGGACCTTTGTGTTAGCCAAGAAACTACCATTGAGTTGAACGAGAATGCTAACAGATAGCCTTCTCCAGGTATATAAGACCTCCTTCGAGTTTACTGACTTTGCACTGGAAGGTTGGGTTAGGGCCTGTGTTGTTGAGGTGACCATGAGTTTGCTAAGATCCAGGATCAACATCTTCGTTAGTCCTAGATCAGCATTCCTGCCCAACCCTGAAACCAAAACCTTACCATAACCTACCCCTAAAATCAGAGGCAAGTTATATGTTGATGATGTACTGCTCCGGGTGTGTGTTCACGGTGTGTGTGTGTGTGTGTGTGTGTGTGCACTTTGGATGGGATAAATGCAGAGCACTAATTCCGAGTATGGGTCACCATACTTGGCCACATGTCACGTCACTTTCACTTTTTCACTAAACAAGTGCTTGCCAACGGTTCTCACCGATGGCCTGACATTGGCTGACGGCCGACCATTGGCTTGGTGTGTCCTGACCTTTAAACTGACCTGATTTAGATAATCTGATCCTTAGAAAAGATCCATGATCCTTAGGATATCTGATCCATGAACTGAACTGACATACAAAATGTTCAGTGCCTGGAATCCCCAGGTATACAAGACCCTAACCCTGACATTAGTCTTAAACCTAACCCTAAAATCTGACTGGATGGTCTGATTAGACAGAATAATTTGGTGACAAAAGCCCAGTGGTAATTATCAAATTGCTTACAGCAGGGGTTCTCTAAAATCATTCTACATTCTAGATAGTTACCTTCAGTGTGAACATAGATGGAGAGCACTCCAGATTTATCTGAATCCAATTTCTTCCAGGTGTTAGCAGTTAGAAGCCACTCCTCAACCTGACAGTAGTATTGCCCCATATCAGTGGGGTTGCTCTGTGGCACAGTCAGTTTATAGTGTGTGGCAAGTGGTCGGCCAAACACCAGATATTTATAGGTAATTGCACTGTGTAAGATACCATCACGTCTGGCGGTGAACATTGTGACTGGTCCTTCTTCCTCCTGAACCTTGAACCAGGTGACCTCAAAGACAGACTTATCACTGGATTGTGAGTCAATGACACAGTCCACGGTGAACCCAGCCTGATGATTTGTAATGTTGAGTGTTCGGTTGTCCTTCTGAACATGCAGTTTACTTTCTGTTTAAATTAAACACAAATTCAAAGATCAAACAACTATGTTGGTAGTCATAAACAATATGACAGGGTTTTGAAAGTCAATAGTTAGACTGCACTAAGAGATTAAACATGGACAAGATGGAAATGGTTGTATTACCGATACTGTGAACTGTGACTATAGTTGAGCCTGACTGGTCACGTGCCATTGGTTTCCACTGACCCTCACAATCAAGCTGGTACTGCTCAACTCTGCACTGGTATCTTCCACTATCAGCTATATCAGAGTTCAATACTGCCAGATGGAAAGTATCAGAAGTAGGTCTAGAGAAGCGTAACCTGTCCTGATTCTCTGTATGGTACTGTAGACGACCATCATAAGAGTAGGACAATAATGGTATCCCGCTAGTTGACTCTGGTCTATTAAATACCCATCTGAGACTGTAGTGATGAGTAGGGTCCTCTTTTCCTACATCCAGGGAGCATTCAATATCAAACTGCTCTCCTTCCTTGATGAAAAGATACTTGCCATTCTTGTCCATGGCAAAGCTAACATTTTTTTGCCTTTCCTCTGTGTCCTCATGGACAGATATCGTCCCAGACATTTCTTCACCTATCTTTCTCCACTTGTTTGCAGCTGTCTGAATCCATTCAACAACCTGACAGTGGTAAAGGCCAGTATCACTGGGGTTGACGTTTGGCACTGTCAGCTTATAGTGCATGGCACTTGGGTGTCCAAACACCAGATCTTTATTATCGATAGCACTGTGTAAGGTACCATCACGGCTGGCATTGAAGATGATGACAGATCCTTCATTTCTCTGATCCCTGGACCAAGTCACCTCAAACACAGATGCATCACTGGACCGTGATTCAATGACACAGTCAATGGTGAACCCCGCTTGTAGATTGCTAATGTTCAGGCTTTGTTCCTCCTTCTGAACGTGCAGATTGTTCTCTAATTTAATAGAAAAATCTGCATTAATGTTCTTCTCAATTTTCTGATGATATTAGAATTCTAAATTGAAATTTAGAGTACTCACCTATAAGCTGAACAGTAACATTGGTAAAACCTGACTTGTCGCCTGCCTTAGGTGACCATTGGCCTTTACAGTCCAGCTGGTACTGTTGAACTTGACAGTAGTAGCACCCCCTGTCTTCCTGGATGGATCTATGGATAGTCAAGTGAAAGACACCCACTTCTGGGGTGGAGAAGTGGAGTCGTCCCTCAAGCTCTGAGTCAAAGCTGTTGTACTTCAGACGGGCATCATGGCTATAGGTCAGAAGTGCCACACTGGAGGATTCATATTGGTTAAACATCCAGGTAAGAGAGTAACGAAGAGTGGAATCAGACCCAATACCCTCCACTGAGCATTTCAACATTAGCTGCTTTCCCTCTTCAACCTTCAGCTGAGTGTTAGCTTTATTCATTTTGAAATCACTGGCTGAAACCAAAAAGACAATAAGTACAGTATCAGTATGAAATATTGAATTTATTTATTATTTATAAAATTTTATATTTTTAGTGGCATAAAATCTAAAATGTCTAGGCAGTAACAACTGTCCTGAATCTGTTCTGAAACTGTCCCAACACACTTTCAAGTCAGTTCGTAACTAGTTTATGTTTTGGTGGTATTTGGTGGCTAATTTGTATGAATTTGTATGATCTCATTTGTATATTTTCACACATTATGCGTATGCCCCACTGATGGTTAGATTTAGAGATGGGGTTAGGGGTGGACTTTCATTCATTATTATTTTTTTTAAATCAAATGTTTCCATACAAATTACATTGTATGTATTCATACTAAATTACCACCTCATAAAACTTTAGATTATGTTTTCTCATGAGATCGGGTTGGCTGAATCTCATGTTTCATTAAAATGGTATATTTTATTGTTTTGTTCTGTTTAGTTTTTTTCCTAGAAAATGGCAATGAAGTTTTGTTTAAATATGAGAAATATTCTATTAGAAATACCCCCCCCCCCCCCCGACCCTTAATAATCAATTAAACTTATTTGTGTGTAGAGCACAGTTCAGTGGGGAAAAAAAATTAAATGAAGTAAATGTGTTTTTACCTTTCTCTTTGACAACCAGCTCTGTGGAAACAGACATTTTCTCTAGGGAATACCAGTCACCAAGAGGATCCTGAAGCCACTCTTCCACCTCACAATGATATTGCCCACTGTCAGATGTTCTGACCTGTTGAATAATCAGCTGGAAGTCCTGTTTCTGTCTTATTTCCACACGGATCCTCTGGTCCATCTCTAAGCCGGCTGCAGGGCCAAACTTGACAACAGCATCTAGGTCCATAGTTAACAGCATCTGGGACCCAAACATCCATGTTATCGTGAAACGAGAGGTATCTGTGGTTGTCCTCGTGACTGAGCATTCAAGCTTAGCATCAGTGTTGACAGTGGTTTCCAGACGAGAAGTGGGTGAGTACAGGCTCATCTTGCTGGCTGTATTAAACATTACAAAGTAAGGAAAAAAGAGAGATAGGGATATTAAACAGCTGAATCTACAATTATCTAAATGCTTTATTTAAAAAAAGGTTCTAAATGTGCAAAGACAACATAGTGGCAAAAATGCTTTAAAGAACATTTACAAATGTTATGTCATTTAATTTACATGTGAGTCTCTTTTGTAGTAGGAACAGTATGTATGCTAGCATTGGTGTGTCCTATTACTGCTAATTTGTGTTTATCCTGCCTGAACCATGGCTTAGTTTCCTGTTCTCCTTTCTGTTTCCATATTGATAGACCTGGTGTCCACAGTTATTAACAGTCAAAAATTCAGATGTACCTATTCAATATTGTAATAACAGTAATGTATTTTAAATACTTTACTATGTAAATACTTTTAAATACTTTACTACTGTAAAATAATACAAATAGAAGTTTGGGAATTATGTAATAACTAAAAATGTTAAACAATTCAACAATTCAGACAGTATGCTTAATATCTTCTAACACTTTACTTTAAAGGGCCCACAACATACTGACTAGAAGAATCGTTGCAAGTATGTCAACTTATTCTACTAACCCTAAACCTAACAGTCTACTCCGAGAATTAGGTGACATGTAGTTGCAAAGTTACTTATAGTTAGTAGAATGTCTAAAGTGGGCTATCAAAATAAAGTGTAACCCAAATATTTGTTTGAACAGTTGAATTTCGGGGCTGAAACATCCAGCGTACAGCCAAAGACACTTTAGGCCCTCTGACTGTGCATAGCAGTTCTACTGGAGAATCTATTGGCACATTTGTTGTACGACTTTTCAAGCTCACCTTCATTAGAGATTCTGAAAAGAAACGTCTGCAGTGATTATTTCAATTCTAATATCAATAACTACAAATTTGAGCAAAGTAATGACAAAGAGTTTACGGCAGAAAGTCTTGACAGTTTTCTCTGTTACTGAGAATAAAGTGTGATAGTAATCTTACCAACAGAATTAACTATTATGGCTTTTTGCTGAGATTTGGTGTTAGCTTTCTTCATCTCGCCATTGCTCTGTACTGTCCATTCAGACACAATGCACTTATATTCGCCGCTGTCAGATGTTGCAGATGCACCAAGCTCTAGAATAAAGTTTCCAGCTGGAGAATGAAATGTTTGAACATTTCTGCTCTGATACCTTGCCCCAACATTTCTCATCACTCCCTCATGGGTCAGACTAATGACATCACTGAAGGAAGCCCCCGAGTCTTTCTTGTGTTGCCATGACACTGATAAAGGACCTTTGAATCCCGACACTGAGCAGGAGACCCGTAGTGCATCTCCCTCAGTCACCACGTCCTTCATCTCCATGACCACCGCAAGATCACTCTCTGACCAGACAGGCAAAAAAAAAAAAAAAGGCAATGTCAGTGTCTTAATGCAAGCTTTTTTTGTTGTGAAAACTGTGACTAGATTATTTACAGTAAAGAATGCAAACCAATGCCTATTATTTCAAGGCAAGCATCACTGTTATTGTCACCCATAATTAGGTTCACGAACTTTGAAAAGCACAATGATGACATATGAGGAATAATTGTATCATTAATTACCTTTAGCCGTGATGCTCACAGTCTCTTGACTGGACATTTGTTTTTGTATTTTTTTGAAGGTGCCATCTTCATTCATGTTTTCCTGCCATACTTCACACTGGTATAGGCCCTGGTCCTCAGACCGAGCCGAACGGATGGTCAGCAGGTAGTCCGTGTGACTGGTTTTCACTGCTCTCATCTCTGCTGCATTCTCTCGCTCTTTGTAACTGTCAAACATAGTGAGCACCCCAGAAGATCCAATCTGGCCCACTTTCTGCTGGTTCTTCAGCCAAGTCACCGAGAAGAAATGACCAGGAAGGTTCTGTGCATTCACACTGCAGCGGATGTCCAGTGCGTCTCCCTCCTGTAGTGGCCCCTTTGAAGCCTTCAGATGAACACTGAACGAGCCTGCATCAGGGGCCACTTTTGAGACACAGGAAACGGCATGAGATTAAACAGGTTATCTTACACAACTTCCTGTGTATGACTGCACTCATACTCACTCAGGCATTACAACAGGTTCTGACTTATATAGCTTGTATCAGTGTTTCTCAACTGGTACAACTCAACTGGTGATGCATACACAGACAACAGGGGAAAATAAGAATAAATGCCAATAACAGACTGCAACTAACAATATAATCATGCATCGTAAAGACTAATCATTAATATGATTAGACTTATCAACTTTTAAATAGGAGGGAAAACACTTCCTATAACATGTTCTTGTAAAAGCTGTGCTTCCAACCAAACTCTGCAGTATAACAAGTCTGACACAAATTCATTTGCCATTTGGTAAAAGCTTGAAATGCTAACATGGTTAGGCTGTGTGGCTTTCATCCTCAAAAAAATATGAAAAAATAAAAAAAATACTACTCCAGAAAATATGACCCAGAAAATATTAAATACGGGTTCAAGGATGGTAGAAAGCATGAAACTATCAACATTTAAGAGCCATTTAGAAAAACTTTTTACTTTTGCACACTGAACTGTGTTGAGTCACTAAGTGTAAAATCTAAAAGAGCCTCTGGTTTAAATTACAGAATATAAATCTCACCGATTCGTTTGATCTCCACATTGCATGTTGTGGTGGTTTTGTGGGCAATCTGTGTCCAGGAACGGTCTGGGTCTTGGATCCACTCAATGGCTTTGCAGAAGAACTTCCCCTGGTCTGACTGCTGCACTTGAGGCATCTTCAGTCTGTAGGTTGTGTCCTCCACCTTATCCATGCTGATAAGACCAGCACGATAGCCATCCTCAAATCCAGCTCCTGGCTTTACAGTCAGATCTTTGTCCAGAGTAATGATTGGCCGGGGGATTTCATCCTCTTCACCATGAAGAAACCAGGTGACCGACAGATGAGTGTGTTGAAAAGTCTGGCTGGAGACTACAGGAAACACTGCATCTAACAATGGTTTGGAAAGAAAATAGTTAATTAAAAAATAATAATAAATAAAAGCATATACATTAACTCAAATACGGTTATCTAATAAGCACGTGTCCTATTCTGTGACCTAAACTCCTGAAACATTGGTGTCTCTTTGTATATGATATGACGATAGTTTTCTCAAAATAAGTAAAATGCTCATGAAGTGACTCTTCTGTGAGCAGTTCTAGAGATTATGTTTTTGTGTTCATGTACTCATATATTGAGGCGGCAGAGGCTGCAAACACTGTGAGCTTCAGTAGGCCTATGTGTAGTAAATGAAACCGCATGTCTGCGCTATTAATTTCCACGAGGGGTGGACTGGGGGAAAAAATTCAGGCCAGGAAATCTCACACTCGTACACCCACAACAAATTCTGAAACATGGACAACCCTATTTTTTTGTATGAACCTCACATAAAAAAGGTTTCAATTCTTTGGTTGGGGACATAATTAAAAGTTCTCTCATGAACTGCACCTTCACTTCCATTTTTCTTTTCAGTCTCTTTATTTTTGCCCTGATATCTGTCTCTCTCATGACTTTAATACTCAAGATTTAACAAAACTATACTTTCTAAATTGCCTACATGTCAAAATTAGTACATCACTACAATATCTTTATAGAAAAATCCTAATAATGAACATGAGTCATGTTTTTCCCTTACAAAAATTAACCATGTGGTTTTTTTTTGCAAATGGATTACCATTTGTATTTATTTTTACTACAAATGCCATGGTTAAACTATGGTTAGTGTAGCAAAAACCATGGTTAATTTGTGGTTACGATGGTTTAACAATAGTATCCATTGTCTTTGGATTATTGATTACTCTGACCATTTGGCGGAGGCGCGGAGAGCGCACGAGTCGAAGCATTGCCAGTCACGACTCACGACTCCCGACTAACCGATTCATGATTTATTAGAGATTTAATTATCGAACAGTCCGTGCCTGATTTCCACAGACACGCAGAACGTGTAGGATTTATATATTGTCTTTTTGCGGCTTAATATTCACAGACACTAGTCCATATCACGTTTTGATTCAAGTGTACTGACCTACTTTTGATTTATTCGTCCAAAATGTGGCCTATTCCGTCCGCGTTAGGCTATAAGACTCCTGTTTTTATGACTGGAATCTACAAACCAGTCTGTAATTTTACGCATCGCGGAAATTATAGGGCCGTACGTCTCAGAGTAGTCAGTGCAATTTGGGAAAGAAATAAATTAAATCTGTATGTGGATGTGTGTAAATATTCAAATGTAATCCCCTTTGTAATTGTTAACATTTTCATAAGTAACTGTAATTTAATTACACAGTTTTTCTTAGTAACTGTAACTGATTACAGTTACATTTATTTTGTAATTAAATTCCGTAACGCCGTTACATGTAATTAGTTACTCCCCAACACTGAATATAGCTTATAGCCAATCACCTTCTTTTGGGATACATGGGGAATGTGAATGGGTGTTAAAGGATGGATTTCTCTTTCAATAATCTCAAAATGCCAGATCATCTCATTAATCACCCAAACCCTCAAAATAAATAAATATCTTACCATTGAGCTTTGTTTCTGCAGCATAATCTCCGTAATATGCACCACCTGTG